ATATAAACAAAGAAAGCATTACCGGTAACTTGAAATTATGACTGCCAGGTTTCGTTATGATCCCGGGGGCCGCTGCCGTCCCGTTTACTTGAAATGTCGTGCCTGTTGGCCAATTTTTCCCCTCCGTAGTGAAGTCTTCTCATGGTCTATCATGGTATCCGTAATGGACCATTAATGGAAGCGGTTGTGGAACGTCAATGTTGTGATCAGGTCCTTCAGGTTTCTCATATTCCCTTTACATTTTGTTGCAGAACTTTTCAAGGCAATTACAGCCACCAATTTCTTTCGAACACACAATGAGACTTTTCTATCTGTTGGCAGGTATTTTGCCCTTCTCCTTCCAAGAAAACCGCTCCAGTTTTCTCAATTTGGGTGCCTTGTCCACACTCACTTGTTTCAGCTCCTTCAACAGATTTTCACTCGGTTTTAGATGAGAGCTCTTCAGTAGTCTGATGTTTTGTTCTTTGCCATTATTGGCTCTTGTCACTGTGTGTTTCAGGTCATTTTCCTGTTTCAGTACCAATGACCTGCTTCATTGTATGCATCATTTTTGTATTTGCAAACATAGATGTATAGCCCATTTACTTGTCATGGTTTTTGTATGCAGGTCACGATAATTCATGTCACTACCGTGTTTTGTCACATTGAAGCAGGAACCATGAATGAATGAACAGGTGTGTCGCTAGACGGAGGGACACATCGGGTTTTTTTGACCGCTACGTCTAGTTTGTTGGTTATATTAGAGCTACGTTCACACTGCAGGGCGTAATGCCCAGCTTTTTTTTTTGTTTTGTTGCTAAATCTGTTCTTTTTATGCAGTCCTTTACATTACAAAAATAAATATTACTTCTAATGTGATGTGCATACGCAAAAAGCATGACATCGAGTGACGTGCACCAAAAAGAAAAAAAAAAACATCATGTGCTGCAGTCTGAACAGAAGTAAATATGGTTTGAGTGTAGGGGCTCGTATTAGCATCTCATATTGCCAGAGTAGCAAGATGGGAGGAAGGTATGAATATTTTGGGGAAATGAAGCAACTCCCCTCAATCTCCTTATTTCATGGAGACATCTACTAAAGATGATGTTTCGTCATTGTCGCACATAATGAATGAACTATCTGCGTGGCTCAATTATTATCACTACAAATGTCCACTTTATGCTTCATGTTTCAAGTGGATTCAATTCAAGCCAAATGAAAAAAACAACTGTTTCTCAAAACAACTTTGCTGATTCATGGATGTTGTCCGTAGTCTCCCGAGCACCCTATTCCGCATATGGGGAGGCATATAGTCTTCTTACTGCAGATGCATCATATACATATCCGATTTATATCCAAATGCAAAAGTGGCCCAGGTTTGATTTGAACAAATTCGAATTGTACTGTTCACACGGAATGAAAAAAATCAAATGTGTTGCATATGGACAATTGGGACTTGACTTACAGTGTGAACATAGCCTATGATTTATAGAATTTGAAATTCAATTTTTGAATTTGAATTTAACATTTAAAACCAGAGTACCTGAAGAAAATCCACCGGTATGACTTTCCACAATATCACTAATTGGTGTAATGGTTCACTTGCCTGCCTTCTGCGCAGGCCACGTGATGCTGTGAATGTGAGTGAGTGTGGCGGTTTGTCTCGATGTGATGTGTCAATAATTTTCGACCAGTCAATGATGTAGCCTGCCTTTTGCCAAAGTCAGCTGGGATACGTTCCTCATTCTAAAAAAAGTTGGGAAAAAAAATAACCCAAAAATGGACAGAGCCAACTTTTGGGGTTATTTGTTTAACTCCCAAAAACAATTTTGCCCCTGTGGGATTATGGTTTGAAATATTGTGTTTATAAATATTTTCAAAGGATGCTACTAGTGGACTGTTTCTCATGAATATTCATGGCAATATTGTAGATTATGTATACACATGCACATGCACTCACTGATTCCTTGGGTCCAGCTTCTGCTATTTTTGTCTGTGGAAAGTTATCTATCCAACCACTCATTTTTTTATAAGGCTTATCTTCTTGAGATCTTGCAGGGTGCTGCACTCTAAAAATATCCGTCCATCCGTCATCTGAACCGCTTTTTCCTCACGAGAGTCGCGGGCATTCTGGAGCCTATCTCAGCTGACTTCGGGTAGTAGGCGTGGTACAACCTGAACTGGTTGCCAGCCAATTGCAGGCCACACATAGATAAGCAACCATTCGCTCTCTCAATCACATGGACTTACAATTTTGAGTGTTCAATTAACCTACCGTGCAGGTTATTGGAAAGTGGGAGGAAATCCAAGTACCTGGAGAAAAACCACGCACGCACGGGCAGAACACGCAAATTCCACCAAGGAAGGCTGGAGCCGGAATCGACCCCATGACGTCTGCATTGTGAGGCAGATGTGCTAACCATCCGCCGTGCTACCCACTGGAGAAAACTGCTGGATCAAAACTAACCCAAATTAGGTTCCAAAATAACCGACCCAACTTTTTGGGTTATTCATTCAACCCAAAAAGATGCGTCAAATGATTAACTTACAAAGCAACCTCCAAAATGGGTTGTTTAACCCAAAATCCTGAAAATTGGATTGCTTTACACCCTATAATGTTTCAAAGCAAACTCCCAAAAGGTTTTTTTTTTTTTTTATCGCTCATTGTGTATGTGTGTTTTTCCCAGGCATTCAATCTTCTTTTGCATGCGTACGTGGCAGTCTCTCCGAGCATCTGGGGAACTGAAAAAGCAGACAAGTTGTTCATTTAAAACAGGCCATATTGAGGCCTGGCCAAGCAGGTTCAGGTAAGGAGCTTTAAATACAGCTCATTACTCATTACTGCCGAGCCTGGGACCTTTAATTTGTGGAGCTTGGCAGCTGGACCACCTGGCCACACATTAAACACTAAAGGCTGATCTCTCTAATGGCCACAGATTAGATCATTACCTTAACAAATCAGAAAGGAGTTTGTCTGGGCCAAGCTGGCAACCATGAGAGATGTCAGGAGGAAGGACGAGAATGGCTGAGTTTACAAGCAAGGCCGAGCATGAAACCTTACACTGCATCCGTTTATTGACTGCATTCATTGGAGGAGTTTGCATTCGGACTCCTTTTGAAGTGATGTTTTCAAAGTTGCGTAACGAGGAATCTCATCTCAAACCCAACGTGGGGCAACTATCGAATGAGGTGTTTGAAAAACAAATATTTTTGGGAGCCTTTTGAGATGTTGTATCCACTTTAGTGTGTTGGGGTGGGAGTAGGAGGATTTTGTATTAATTTCTTCAAAATCGGGTCATCAAGTAGCACTTCAAAGCTTATATCATTAAGTCACTTATCTGTTTGGGGTTTTTTTTTCGCTTGATGCTTTCTGGTGAATGTGCATGTATGTACATAAACGAGACTTCAACTTGTCAGCGGGCATGTGAACAAAGAGTTCATGGAGTGAGACGACGGAAACACTGACTGTCATGTGTGTGCAGAGCAAGAAAACGACGATAGAAAGCGTTCCTGCATCTGTGTATTGAACGATGTTATGTTGTCATGTAGAAAGTATGTACATTAATTACATACAGTGTGTATATATTTATCAGCATCTGGTAAAGATGAAATGTTGCCCCATCCTGGTCTACAGAATGTTCTTTCTGGGTCAAAACTAATTGGTGCGGCAACACAGAGACTTGCTCTGATAATGACCACAAGCACTACAGCTGCTCTCGCATGACCGACCGAGCACTGCCGACCCACTCCCATCTTCTCCTCCCTCAGCCTTAGCACCCCCCTACCCCTCAGCACACAGAACGGCGCTGGGGCAAATGAGGAGGAGCGAGAAAGATGTCGTGTGAAAAAAGTCCAAGACAGGCACAATTCAGGGTGGCACACAAAGCGATAGTGAGTATGTACAGCATGCGGATCATGTTAGGACATAACTTGGTCATTGTACAATTACTGCACCTGTTGCATTTAACATGTCTCAAAACATGATGTTATCAGACTGTAATTCAGGGGTCCAGATGCGATTTTGGAACAGTGAGGGACGGGGACCAAGTTTATAAAAAGTAATCTAAAATGATGGGCGAGATGCGATAACATGGCTCTGTTGGAATGCTACTACTCAAGCAACCCTAGTCAAAGGGGTTACATGCAGAGAATGTGGGCTAAATGGTTACTTCGAAACCCACAGTCACGGTTGACCACGAAACAACTAGTAGCTCAGTGTTCCAACATCCACAAACGGCAATTGCTGTCACAACTTGAGATTGACGAGGTACAACGCAGGGTCCACGGTGAAGGGCCCCAGGCTGCCAGATCAGAGGAGGAGGTCATACCAGAGATTGGGAGGCAAGCCCCAATGAATGCAAATGCAGATGATGAGATTGGGAGGCCAGCCCCAATGAATGAAATGCTGAGCGAGGCAGCAACTGACCTGAAAGCTAAGATCATGGCGAGAATGGGAGCTGGGCAACCTAGAAACCGATTACAACGACTATGTGAAGTACCACCTGAAAGTCTCATGGAAAGTGTGAATGCAGCACTGAGGGCGATCCCAACCATAACGATCACGGAAACCAATGAGCGGATATACGCTTCAGCATCAGTGATCCTAGAGATGCTTGGCTATAGGAGCAACCATGGGAGCCAAGAGACACATTACCCACCATGGAAAAGACGGTTGAGGCTAAGATCAAGGCGGCTCGGAAAGATGTGAGTCAATTCACGGAGGCCCAGAGAGGTGTGATGAAAAGGCCGATACCTGAGAGGTACATCCAGATGACCATACCTGAAGCACTCGAAACTGCCAAACAAAGGCTCCAAGCCTTGTCCAGTCGCCTAAAGAGGTACACGAAAGAGAATGAGGCCAGACGAATAAACAGGCTGTTCGCAACACAACCTGCGAAAGTGTACGCTCAGTGGCAGGGTCCTAACAGCAGAGCTGACCACCAAGACTGGAAACTGAAAGGTACTGGAAAGGCATATGGGAGAAGGAGGTTGCACATAACAGCAGTGCACAATACGTTTCAGAAAATTCAACAGGCCTGGACAAACCGTATTTTCCAGCTGCATTACTGTACAGGTCCTTGTTGGCATCTTGCTGATCCACAGATATTGACAAAGAATTCCACTTCTGACGCCTCTTGTGATGCCAAAATTATCATTGGTAAGTTAATAATGTAGCATGTAAAGCAATGAACATTTCAGGTTTTCTTCATGCATTTGATTGGATTGTTTGTTTTACTTTCCCACAACTAGGCCTAGAATTTCTCTTCTCTGAGATAGAAACGGATTTGATGACGATGACAAACATGCACAGCTCACGGCACAGTGTCGACTTTAGGTCACAAGTAGAAGAGTGGATGCACTTGCTCCAAGAGCTTGGTAAACACGTTACTCTGTAGCTCCAGCTATCGCAAAACAAATTGTATGAAACTTAAAAAAAAACGTATATTATAAAAAGTGGTTTCCGCTGTGCCCGTGTAGAGAAGCTGTTGCATTTGTTTGAGATCTATCAGCAAAAATGGATCTTCCTGACTAAGATATTTCAAGAAAGAACCTTGGGTGTTCAAAGATGGGATTTGGTATGTGCAATCATGATTATGAGATAAACCAATATCCATGTTGCTGTCTGAAGCTAAAGATTTTAAGTTCAGTTAAAAAAAAATCATAATAATAAAATGACTCTCTTTTTTCGTAGCTGGCACAATTCCGATCAGTTGATGAGCGTTTCAAGGCCATGATGTGTCACAACGCGGCTCACCCCGATGTGCTGAATCTTGTCCGTCCCAAAACGGGGATAGAAACCCACCACGGCGGCAGCCTTTGCGAAATTCTCCTAAATGAGATATCAACATTGAATGCTCTTGCTTGCCAGATGGCAAATCGTCTCCATTCTCGCTGCAAATTGTTTCCGAGACTCTACTTCTTGAGTGACCGGGAAGAAGTGGAACTACTATCTTTACAACCAACACCCACCTCTCTGTTACCCTTTGTACGGAAATTTTTTAAAGGGGTACAGTCGATGGATGTGGAGGAAATATCTGGAACTGTGGATGGACAGGATACACGCGACACACAGACGAGGGTACTTGGGGTCTTCGGCAACTTCCAGGAGCACATTATCTTCCTTTCTCCATTGGAACCGAATCACAATCTTTTGATTTGGCTGAGTACGTTTCAGGATCAGCTCAAGTTAACCATGGAACATCTCCTGATGCAATGCGCTGATGAACGAAAACAAGTCGAGCCATCAAATCTAGACGCTTCACATAAAAACATTCGTGGACATGTATTGCCAGTGCTTGAAATGACAACTAAATATCCTCTCCAGTGTCTTCTTGTCGCAGAGGAGACCGTCTGGTGCAGTGTCCTCAATCAAGCTTTCCAGGAATCGAGCACCATTAAGATGAGTGCGATTAATGAATTCAACAAGGCACAACTGGCAAATCTTTGCCGGTCCTTACGGGATGCTGTTGCAAGATCGAAAAGCGATGTACAGCTCTCAAAATACACAATGGCGTGCTTGCGTGCTTTAGTGCTCCTTAGAATTCAACATGCAGAGCAACTAACTCAACTCATGCAGGCGCAGTGTCAGCCAGGGTTATCTTTTGAGTGGCTGAGTTCTCTCAAGTATTATGTAAACTCGACGGGTCAGAGTCCAAAAGAAACTGATGGTCCAAAATGTTATGTGGACATTTTGGGCCGTAAGATTCCATATGGTTATGAGTATTTTGGTCCAGAAGAATTTGGAATGGTGCATACTCCCTGCACCGATCGAGTGATCATGGGAATTCTCCTTGCCGTGACGAGCTACACAACCAGATATCGTGATCATAGATAAAGGGCAGAGGAAAGCCGTTGTAGTGGATGTAGCGGTCCCAAGTGATGGAAACATCAGAAAGAAGGAACACGAGAAACTCGAGAAATACCAAGGGCTCAGAGAGGAGCTGGAGAGAGCCTGGAAGGTAAAGGTGACAGTAGTGCCTGTGGTGGTCGGAGCACTCGGGGCAGTGACCCCCAAACTAGATGAGTGGTTGCAACAGATCCCGGGAACAACATCGGACATCTCAGTCCAGAAATGTGCAGTGCTGGGAACAGCAAGGATACTGCGCAGAACCCTCAAGCTTCCTGGCCTCTGGTAGAGGACCCGAGCTGAATGAGGGATGGACACCACCCGAGGGGTGAGACGAGGATTATTTTTATTTTTTATACATATGTTAGTTCAGTGCAGTTTATTATATTCAAAGGGAGTAGAAAAAAGTAGAAAAATACCCTTGTTCTCTCTAAGTGATTAGAACTCTTGTTATCCAGTATGTTATTCATAAATATGTATGCAACAGTATAAATCCCAAATAAAAACAAAAAAAAACAATCTTTACACATGTTCTGTATGTATGAGCGTGACGTGGAGACCCATTATGGAAAATTCACGCCATAAATTAAAAAAAGAAAAACCAAACAAACAAAAAAACAAAAGGAAAATATACAAGCAGACATGGCCCTTTATACATTTATACATTGATAATCTTATTCATAAACTAAACCTAAAGACCCTAGATTAATAGAATCAGTGCAGTTTCTCATACATTATTGATATTTTTTGTAGGACTATATTTTTAAACCTCTGTTTCAAAACAAGAAGCGATTCACCACTTTTAATTGTATTTCATAATTGTTCCATAAATTAACACCTCTTACAGAAAGACACATTTGCTTGATGTTTGTTCTTGTACTTCTTGCACAATGACGAGAACACTCCTCTCTGATTTCAAACAGCTTCTGGACACTGTGGCAAAGTTGGTTATTGTTTCCTTTGTACATTATTTGTGCTGTTTTTGATTTAACTAAGTCGTAGAATTTGAAAATGATTAATTGGATAAATATGGATTAGTTGCTTCTTTAATAGTTTGAATGGTTAATAATTCGCATATCTCTTTTTGCAGTTTAAAGATACACTGAGTGTTTGTTTTGTAAGTATTACCCCATAACTCCACAAAGTATATCAGCTGTGAGGTATATGAAGAGGCTTTATTTCGAAAATATTTGGTTTCTCACAGGATACTTATAATTTTAGAGATTTTTCTTTTCACATTTTCTATGTGTCATTTTCAACAAGTGGCGGCACTGTACCCGAGTCGTTAGCCCAGGGGTCGGCCACCCAAAATGTTGAAAGAGCCACATAGGACAAAAAAACAAAAAACAAATATGTCTGGAGCCGCAAAAAAATAAAAGCCTTCGATAAAACTTACAATGAAGGAAACACATGCTGTATGTATGTAGGAGACTGGACTGTCTCAGAATTGTTTGTTATTCATTCCTTTGTTGTGTGTTCACAAATGCCCCCATATAATTTATTTTGTGATTTCCTCGCTTGATTTTTTGTTTTGGTGAATTATTTTCGCTTTTCTTAGTGTCAGTGAAGTGATCATGAATTTCCGTTTTTCGGAGGCTGTCTTTGAATGCCTTCGGAGGCTGTCTTTGAATGCCTCTCGAGTCAAACGAGAAGAGAGAAGGCACGGAGTCGGACGCAGACGTGTCTGTGTTTGTCAAGACTGTTAAAAGCACAAATAAAGTGTACGTTTTAAAAAACCAACACCACAGCTCTCCTTTTTCGGAGCTGCAACATGTATCTATACCTATTTGAGCTATATTAGCCTCCTATCAAAATCTTTTTCCATTTTCAAACATTTTTTATAAAGCTCCAGGGAGCCACTAGATGTCGGTAAAGAGCCACATGCGGCTCCTGTGTTGCCGACCCCCGGCTTAGTTAGCACATCAACCTCACAGTGCAGAGGTGCGAGGTTCATTTCCGGCTCCGGTCTTCCTGTGTGGAGTTTGCATGCTCTACCCGTGCCTGCGTGGGTTTTCTCCCACATTCCAAATACATGCACGGCAGATTAATGCCATAAACTGGGGTCTGATTGTGGGTGCGAGTGATTGTTTGTCTACATAAGTGTGCCGTGTGATGAGCTGCCAACCGGTTGAGGGTATACCGCGCCTCCTGCCTCAAGACACCTGGAATGGGTTCCAACATCCCCCGCGACCCTTGTGAGGATAAGCGAATCAGAAAATGGATGGATGTATTAATATTGATATGGCATTCATAAAAATTACTTTAAAACATATTGTGCAACCTTTCACATATGTTTGTAACCTATACTGCAGCCTATCCCAGCTATCTTTGGGCAGTCGGCAGGGTACCCCCTGAACTGGTGGCCAGCCAATCGCAAGGCACACATCGCTAAACAACCATTCAAGCTCACAATCACACCTATTGACAATTTAGAGCATTCACTCAGCCGACCATGAATGTATTTTTATATA